ATATATGAATTCATTAGTATCTACTGCCAGAAGACTGAAATTAGATTCACATCTTTCACTGTATGTAAAAATCAATTCTAAATGGATCAAAAACCTTAATTTTAAAACTTGAAATGCTGAAAATTCTAGATTAAAACACAGTGAGTACTCTTCAGAATATTGAAGTAGGTAAGAAGTTTCTAAACAGAGCATCGATAACACAGGGCCTACCTCCAAGTAGCAACAGATTGGAATACATGAAATTAAAACATTTCTGCACAGTAATGGCATTAATTAACAGAGGACTCAGCCCACAGAATGGGAGTGTTAGCTCAGACAAGGGGCTAATACCAGAATTTCCAAAGAACTGCCAAAATTAAATGCCAAAGAAATAAACTATCAATCCGCAAATGGGTTAATGAACTGAATAGACAGTTTCAAAAACTGAAATTCAAATGGCCAATGAATATTTAAAAAATATTCAACATTTCTAATCATCAGGAAAGTGCAAATTGAAACTACTTAGAGATGCCACCTCACCTCTGTCAGAATGGCTATTATCAAGAAATCCCACAACAAATGTTGGAGAGGATGTGGAGAAAGAGGACCTTTATTCATTGCTGGTGGGGGTGGAAATTAGTATAATCATTATGGAAATCAGGTTGGAGGTTCCTCAAACATTAAAAATAGGGCTACCACATGACTCTACTATATCAGTCCTGGCCATATACCCGGAGAATTCTAAATCTTACTACAGAGAAATTCGCACCCTCATAGCGTTGTTCATCTATTCACTATAGCAGGAAAATAGAAGCAACCTAGTTGTGTATTAACAGAAGAATAGGCAATGAAAATCTGGTATGTATATACTCATATATAATGGAATATTATTTAGGTTTGAAGAAAAATGAAATAAAAAGTTGCAGCAAAATTGAAGGATCTAGCTAGAAAGTACAATATTAAGTGAAGTCATCCAACCAGACAGTAAAAAAAAACCTCATTTTCCCTCATATTTAGTTCTAAGTGTATAATACACACACACACACACACACACACACACACACACACACACATATATA